CCAACTTGTGTTGATTAACACCCAAATCTTCTAACAACCCTAACGTCCAGATTGCTTGCCTAATGGCCTTAGCCATTGCCATATATTCAGCCTCTGTGGTTGATAATGCAACAATTGGTTCTAATATTGATCTCCAACATATAGGACTTTTGCCATAGTAAACACATACCCTGTTGTGGACCTTCTTTTGTCTAAATCACTAGCAAAATTAGAGTCCACATATCCAATTGAGAACTTTTCAACTTCTTCAGAATTATTCTCAAAACAAATTCATGTCTCCTTTGTTCCACGAAGATATTTCAGCCTCTCAATACACCTTTCCAGGATTGTGCATAAATCTACTAACAATTCCAACTGTGTGAGAAATATTGGGGAGACTGCATACCATAGCATACATCAACCCCCCCCACCAAACTGGAATAAGGAACATCTTTCATCTTGACTTTTTCTTCCTCAGTTTTAGGGCATAGTTGAGTGCTCAATTTAAAATGAGGAGCTAGTAGTGTACTCAATTTGTGCAGCAACTTTTCAAGGTACTGTTTCTATGATAAATACACCAACACCTTCTTCCTATTTCTCGTGATCTCCATCCTTAAAATCTTCATTGCCTCACCGAGATCTTTCATTTCAAAATCTTTATGCATATGAGCTTTTAGCTTTTTAATCTCAGTGATATCACTAGAAGCTATGATCATATCGTCTATATAAATCAATAAGTATATATATGCGCCTCCTCTTAGTTTCTTGTGGTACACACAATGATCATAATGACTCCTTGTATAGCCTTGTTATTTCATAAACTTATCGAATCTCAAGTACCACTGCCTGGGTGATTGTTTCAATCCATATAGTGACTTGTTGAGCTTGTAGACTAAACTATCTTTTCCTTTTTCTTCATACCCTTCAGGTTGTCTTATGTAAATTGCTTCAGACAAATTTCCATGTAAAAACGCAGTTTTTACATCTAGTTGTACTAACTCAAGATCAAACTGTGCTACTAAAGCAAGCAAAATTCGAATGGAGGAGTGTTTCACCACAGGGGAAAATATTTCATTATAATCAATTCCTTCTTTCTGAGCATATCCCTTAGCCACTAGCCTGGCTTTAAACAGCACCACACTCGCATCATTGACTCCCTCCTTCATTGCATATATCCATTTGCATTCAATTGTTTTTCTTCCCTTAGAGCACTTCCACCCTATGGGCAAATGCAAGGCAAGGGCTTCCACCATTCATGTAAATAGTGGAAGCTCTTGCAATTTTGTTTCCACCCCTATGGGCAAGTGCAAGGGCAAGGGCAATTACTATTTACTTTAATTTATTTTCTATTCTTTATACTTAAATGATTAATTTTGATAAAATTTGCGGATAAGATTTCAGTTGCCACGTGTCACTATTTCTTATAAAATTCTCATCTCAAATTTCAGATAAAATTTTCAAATAAGATTTTCGGTTGCCACATTTCCATATTTATTATAGAATCCACATCTAAAATTTTAGATACAATTATCGGACAAGATTTTCAGTTGCCACGTGTCCATATTTATTATAAAATTCACATCTCACTCATTATACAATTGAAATACCTACTCACTCATCATACAATTGAAATACTCCCGGTCCTCATAGTCCGACACAATTGAGTACAAGGACAACTCAATCATTGGAGGAGGCTGTTTAACCGGATCACGACATGGGGGAGTATTTTCCTTCAGAGGATGTAATAGTGCCATTATTTCTGACACGGAACACACCACTGGAACTGACTGCGGGCATTGTTCACTTGAGGAGCCATGTGTAATTTTTTTTTTTTTTTTTTTTTTTTTTTTTTTTTTTTTTTTGTTTTTGAATCTAATATAAAAAAAAAATTGGAAATGCAAGAAAATATAAATACAAAAAAACATTAAATTGAATAAAATGGCAATTAAATTTTTTTTTACCTCGTCGCCAAGATTTTGACCACTTCAACAGTTTGTCCACGACCCTCTGGCTTCGATGGAAGAAGTCATTTTGTAGTAGAAAATTTGGTTTGAAAAGTGAATAATATTGGTAAGTATTTATAGAACAAATTTCCATAATTTTTTGATATTTTTTTGCAAATATTTTTGATTTTTTTAAAGGCAAAAATGGGCAGCTGTTGGATTGGAGGAAATTTTTGGATCGAAGCCTCCAGAAGAAGCCACGTGGCTTGTAACTGTTGGTTTTTGGCAGTGCTGACTTCTGGCTTACTTCAACTGCCTAAAGGCAAAGAGACGGGCTAGATCTCCCCGTGGGCTTGCCTGGGCTCATGGTTTGCAAGCCTTGCTTGGGCCGGGTCTTGCGTGCTGGAATTGGCTTCTGGGCCTAGGCCCCCTCCTACCTAGGCTAGCCACTGGCGGTGGAATTGCTCTTACACAACTCTACTAATTCCTAGGTCTTGTTCTTCGTGATACTACTCATAGTATGAAATATCGATAATATCGAGGATATTTCGGTTTTTTCGAATCACGAATATTTCGGAACATATCCATGTATATATCGTATAAATATCGACAATAATATTGGAAAATATCGATGTCGATAATTTCGCTCACACTTTAGCAATATTTTGTCAAAATATCGGTGTAATATCGCTAAAATATCGAAAATATTGATGTAAAAGAAAAAAAAAGGAAAAAGATGAAGAAAAAGAAAAGGGAAAAAAGGGAGGGAAAAAAAAAACACAAAGGGGATTTGAACCCCTCTCATTTTACTCCTCCAACACCTTAACCACCATAATTACATGCAAAATTATTTTGGGGATTTATCATTTGATGAATACTCTTCACAATACACTTAGTCTACATGTAGAGATGATGAAGATAGTGAAAAATTTGAACCTCATAAGAACTCTATGTGGTATTAAGTCACTCATGTATCTTACTATGCAATGTATAAAGTGTAAAATATTGTAGTAAATCATTATATATAAATTATTATGGTGTGTTTAATCTTTTTTTAATTAATTACTAAATATTTTCTACACTCACAGTGTTTGCCAGCTCGCTGTATAATCAGCTTAAATCAGTTAAATCCATCATGTAATGCATTTCCTTCTAATTTTTTTTTTTGATAAACTAATAGATAATTGACTAAATAAACATTCTCCAAAATTTCAATAAAAATTTTCAAGTTTTTATTACAATTTCCGTGGTTTTTATTCAATTTTTATTGATATCGATAATATCCCGATATTTCAATCGAAATTTCCATGTTTTAACACTACCGATATTTCCGATATCATCGATATTTTAGACCGTGATACCACTTGTTATACTTTAAGAAAGAATAAGAACTAAAACAATGAACAAAGAACAAGGAACACAAACAATTTAAGGGTTCCTCCAATATAGGAGTACCTCCCTGAGCAATGAAACCTTTTATTAAACCCAATGAAAGAGAACTAACAAACTCTCAATAACTCTCAAGATCATAAACAGATGCCTCACTCTCCAATATTAGACTGCTCCTAAGATCATTTATTTATACTAGCTTGATGACAACCAAATCCTACTATACAGAGGAAACCAAAAACTAAACTAAGTCAGAATCCAAAACCAACTTGGAAGCTTGCGTCCAAACCTCCCAAACATATTACAACTTGGATTCCTAACTTAGCTAGGAATACAAAATCAATTTCATACCAAACTTCAACAAGTTGTTCAGAGAATGGTGAGGAAGCTGAAAAAATCAGGGGTTGCCTTGTAATGCCGCACACCATGCTTGTCCAAGTCATTAGCCAAGCACATTGCCGCTTGATTGTGTGTGAGAGTATTTTGGTATGTAGTTAGCAAAATATTTTATTTTCTTGTATTTGGTCATTATAAGTAACTCTTCAAGCATTCTGATGTTTCCTTTTTCTTCCGTAACTTATGAAAATGCTCATCATGCCACCTACAAGAGGTGACTAGTTGCTGGAATGGTGAGCTAGTTCACTTGTATAGGTAAGCATGCTCGCCATCAATATAATAGAAGCATTACACAATCACTCATTCCTTGTGTGTTGCCCTTGCTATTGTGTTGCTTGCTTGGTGCTTGTATAATATTAGCATTGGGTGTTTGTTGCCTACCCAGTACTAGCCGCAAAGTGGTTTCTTTAATTTCGCAAAGGGTTGTAGCTCAAGTGATCTCCCTTAAGATTATTTAATGCACATTGTACTAGGTTGGATTCCTCCCCTTTGTATCCTTTGTATAAAAAAACAACCTTTCATCTTCATCAATGTTGAGCTGGCAGGATCCACTTCAGTCATTCAATTCCACGTGTCAGGATAATACCGAATTTGGAAGTATCGTATGTCCAGTGCACTACACGCAATCCTTTTCTCCCAGAAGAGAAGCGACACCATTATTACAGGAATCTCCACGCAAGCGTTATTATACACTCCAAAAAACCAAATACAGAAACAAAATAAAAAATCTCCCGCCATCCCCAAAACATTTGTAAACCCTCAAAAACCAGGAATCTCATCGAATTTTGATCCGGGTTGAAGATTTGGATCGGGAAAATGGAGCTGACGGTGGTAGATCTGAGTTTGTACTTGGGATCGAAGGGCGAAGTGGAGGAGTTGTGCGGCGAAGTGGAGGAGTTGTGCGGCGAGGTGAGCCGGAGTCTGAGAGAAACAGGTGCTCTGTTGGTCAAGGACCCCAGATATACGGCCGAGGACAACGATCGCTGCCTCGATATGATGGAGAGATACTTCGATAGGCCGCCGGAGTTCAAGCGACTCCAGGAGAGGCCCCAATTGCATTACCAGGTGGGTTCTGTTTGGTTCCCGAGAAAATGAAAAACTGTTGCCTAGATATCAGAAAAATGAAAAATTGAATTTCGTTATAAAAAAAATTGAAAATTGAAGCCCAATTCTTTGATTACTGATTGGTGGCTTATCTGGGTTCTCTTTTGATTTTAATTGTCTATTTCTTTTGATTTGTGGTGGGAATTGGATTGTTGTTGTTCAAAACTTGAAGTGGGGATAAGATTACAGGTTGGGGTGACACCAGAGGGTGTGGAAGTGCCAAGAAGCCTTGTTGATGAAGAAATGCAGGAGAAATTGAAAGAACTGCCCAAAGAGTTCCAGCCATCCATTCCCAAGGGGGCAGATCGCAAATGGCGATACATGTGGAGAGTGGGTCCTCGACCCTCAGAAACCCGCTTTCAGGTCTCACTCTTTGTTTTCCTTTAGATATTCACTTTGCACTCGTATGTATTGACTGTTTTAATTAAATGCTATTATTCTACTTGCCATGATGATGATGATTATGTTATTCTTGTTTTCTAGGAACTTAACGCAGAGCCGGTCGTACCCGAGGGGTTTCCTGAATGGAAAGATACCATGGATTCATGGGGTTACAAGATGATATCCGCAATAGAGGTGAGCCATTAATTTGATTTTTCAGCTTGCTCATACCACTTGCTTGTTTTGCGTATTATCTAATATTCTTCATGTTTATGCCTCTCTTTCTTTTCAGGCTGTTGCCGAAATGGCTGCCATTGGGTTTGGCTTGCCAAAGGATGCATTCACATCACTTATGAAGCAGGTGACCAATGATTGCCAAGTGAAACTTACATTCATGTCTCTATGACTTTCTGCCACTAGTGGTGGGGCAGCGGTATTGAAATCAAATAATGGAATCATGCTTACTGGTTGCCTACTCTGACAGTAGTTGCCTACATCCATCAGTTTCCATTCCATCTTCTATATCCATCACTTTTCTTATCTTTAGCCACTGTGACCACCTGTGTCCCCAAATTTGTGTGGCATTCTGTTGAATACCTTTTGTATTGCTCCATAATGCCACTATTATTTTTATCTTATTACACTTCTCTATTTTGTCTTTTTCTTACAAAGATGAATTTGGGGGTGGGCATAGTCTTATTAAATACATTGGCTTGTGATCGGATATAGAGCATGTATTTTGTCTCCATGCTGCATTTTCGACAATCACCAACTTCTGAATTGAGTATCTAGAATCTCTTCCTTTCCATTTGCCAAGTTCCTGGCTAAGTTCATGCGATATATGCTAAGTACCCTTTCCTTGTGAACCCAGGGACCACACCTTCTAGCTCCAACAGGAAGTGACCTTCAGCGTTACGGCCAGGAGGGTACTGTGTTTGCAGGATATCACTACGACCTGAACTTTCTTACCATTCATGGCAGAAGTAGATTTCCTGGTCTGAATATCTGGCTAAGAAATGGGCAAAAAGTTGAAGTGAAGGTTCCTGTAGGATGTCTTCTCATTCATGCTGGGAAGCAGGTAAGAGTATTTTTGACCATTGTGCTTAGTAGTTTTCCAATAGTTTACAAGCTAGTTGACCCCCTGGATATGGTGGCTTTTATGGGAAATCAATTTGGATTTCGGTTGCATCAATTAAATAACACATTATACAAAATAAAATTTAAACTTATATTTTAACTATAGCAATAATGTCATGTGCAAGATCTATCTGATTATACTTCAAAATGGACAGGGAGAGGGGTAGGGCTTTTCAATTAGTAGTACAGATAGGGTTTATGCACATCTTTTGGTCAAAAAATAAATACAACACATGCGAAACATTTGATTAGTTGTGTTGTGCTTAGTGTAACAACCACAACCCAACCCCACCACCCCCCTACAAAGAAAAGAAATATTAGCGTGTTTATTTTTAATTCAAGTTCCCTCTTTGATTGGAATGGCTGTTTTTAGGTTGGTTGGCTATGACATGTGTTGTATTTTAAATCTTTAAGCTAATTGTATTCCATTCACACAAATTTTCATTTGCAGATGGAGTGGTTGACTGCAGGAGATTGCATAGCTGGAATGCATGAAGTTGTTGTAACAAACAGGACAGTTGACGCAATCAAAATAGCAACGGAGCAACATCGCTTACTTTGGAGAGTATCTTCTACAGTGAGTGAAGCTAGTCATATTGTAGTCATTGTTACTGTTTCGTTCTTCTGCTTTTAGCTGGCATTTTAAAAGAGATTTATATAAATAAGATTTCTTGATGCATAATATACTTATATGTGACATTTCTCGCGATGTAGTTGTTTGCGCACATAGCATCTGATGCTGTGTTAAAGCCCTTAGGTCGCTTTGCAGAATCCTCGCTTGCCAGTAAATATCCGGCGATTTATGCAGGAGAGTTTGTTGAACAGGAGCTTGCAGTAATCAATCTCAAAGGAAACAAGGGAGAATTTGATAACCTGTAATATGTGAAAATCATAACTTGTTATGTCAATGATATGAAAAGCATTTGAAGAGGCCCTTGGGAATGAGATGAGTTGTAATAAAGAAGGTTGGGATCGATGATTATTAACTGTGGCCGCACACATAAGGAAAGATTGGAGAATTATATTGTCTCATTTACTGACTTTCTGTTCTTCCTCCAGCAAGAAAATTTCTACAATTTCTTTGGATTCCCAAATCGAATATATATCTCTGATTTGTTAGTTATGCTTAACTATTTTTTTTGGGTACATTGTGCTCTCATATTTTGATTTTCACCAAAAGTTGTCAAATGTGCTCGAAAGCAATTTCCTCGAGAATCATGCATTCAATTGAACACGGAAATATCTTCTCGAAAACTTCAAATGTTGTGAACTTATGATCATGACGCAAGTTTGGATTTGCTCCTAACTGATTTTGTATTCTGAGTTGCTATAGTGTAGCATCAATTTCATTTTCGTCCTTCTAGTTTAACACTTCATAATCGAATATACTTTTCTTAGCAATTTCAGATTGGTCTAAATCACATAATTTCAAATACTAACTTGGAGCTAATTATCCGATATTAATATTTTGGATGGTCACACTTTGGGATCTTGTAACTGAAGCGCATTGTTTTTGGCCTCTACATACGCAAACAATGAGAACGTAGGTGCCTTCGATGCATTTTAACTGGAGCTTCTTTGCTAATGCATTTGGAAAATGCAAAGAGTCATGAAATTTGAGTTTCTGCTTCACCAGCACACCAACTGTATTTTTGGCTGGTTTTTATGCACATATCATCAGTGGCAGAGCTGGCGACAATGGCATCATATAGGTGTGACCTTTGGGTAGGATGTACCTGCATGGTGGCATGACCCTCATCAGAATGTCCTGCATATTCGAATTCGGGACATCTTCTCTGTAATTAATCTCAGCTCAAATTAATTAAGATGAGGCTAATTACTATGACTCTTCCAGTTTTGGTGGTTATGTTAGTTTTGACAGGTTTGGTGGATCGAGGGCACCATTTGTGCAAGCACCTTCTTCTCATCTATTGTTCAGCTAATACCTTGCAGAGCAGCAGTTGTTCCTTTTAGCCCCATCCCACCAAGTGAGACTTGCTGCAATGCCCTCAAAGCTCTTGGCCAGCCTTGCCTATGTGTGTTTGTCAATGGCCCTTCAATTTCTGGCGTCGATCGTACCATGGCAATGCAGCTCCCAGAGAAGTGCACTATCAACTTTGAACCATGTACTCTCTAGCTCTTCTCTGTTGCTTAACACAGTAGTGCTAGAAAAAAAAGGTTCCTGAAGCAATATTTTTTCACCCATTTGAACTAATATATTATATTAATAACTAAGTATGTATTATTTACTTGGTTAAAAAAAAAGGGTTCCGCATTGGCGGGCTTACAAAATGGGTTATAAAATTGACACCAATCTCCGCCAACATTGGCAGGCTTGACTAAAATGGCTCTGCATCCAAATTGGAATTCAGCTGAAAATTCAGCTTTCTTATTAATTTAATATGTAACTATCCAAGGGTTACACGTGAGTGATGTTCCTCTTGCAAAGTTTATGTAGTGACAAGAAAAATGCTCACGTTATTATAAATCTGGACCACATGTTCTCATCAGAGAAACGGATCAACAGTCCTAATTATATATTGACAACTCGACAAGGTTTGCTGCTCACACTGGTCAACTAAACCTATAGTCTTAATTGAACATGATGTAATAGTATGGCCTACGCATTAACGACATTATCTATCCTAACAAATCAGAATTCAGTGGCTTTTGTCCATACTAATACAAGTCTCCAGTGATCCAATCAGTGCTCTGCGCTGAATCTATTTGCTCAAACTTGTTGGAAGCCATGAACACCATGACTGATTTCCAGTACTACTTCATCTGCTTGATCCTCTGCTTCCTCTCCACCATCTTGATCAAATCCTTCTTCAACAAACCCACCAAGCAAACCACCACTCTCTGCCTCCCTCCTAGTCCACCGGCTTTGCCGGTCATCGGTCACCTTCACCTCCTCTCCTCCTCCTTGTCCAAGTCCTTGCACAACCTCTCCACCAAGTATGGTCCTCTCCTCCTAGTCCGGTTCGGCGCTTCTCGGATGCTAGTGGTTTCGTCAGCCTCCATGGCTACTGAAATCTTCAAAACTCACGATCTCACTTTTGCTTCTCGTCCCTCATTTGCTTTTGCTGACGAGTTGCCGTACGGAAACTTGGGATTCTTTGCCACCCCATATGGTGACTATTGGAGGTTCATGAAGAAGCTTTGCATGACAGAACTGCTCTCACCCAAGCAAATAGAAAGGTCACGCGCCATTCGACATGCAGAGGTTGCAAAGTTTTTGAGGAAAATGTTGCAGAGTGCTACGAGGAAAGAGATGGTTGATGTGGGTGCGGAGCTGATGAGGCTTACAAACAACAGTATATGCAGGCATGCTCTAAAATTAATTTGATATGATCTTTGAAATTTTCTCCAATATTTCTCTTTTTAACAAGTACCTGTTTAATAGCAGGATGGCTATGAGCACTAGTTGTTCAGAGAATGGTGAGGAAGCTGAAAAAATCAGGGAGTTGGTAAAAGAATCATTTGAGTTGGCTGCAAAGGTTTGTTTTGGGGATGTGTTGGGCCCACTGAAGAGGTTGGGTTTCTGGGTTTATGGGAAGCAGCTCATGGATGTGACCATGGGGTATGATAAACTTCTAGAGGGGATGCTGAAGCAGCATGAAGAGAGAGCAGAGAGAGAGGGTTGGGATAGAGAAGATAAAGATTTGATGGATATACTATTGAAGGCCTATCAAGATGATAAAGCTGAGGTCAAGATTTCCAGAACTCATGTGAAGGCTTTCTTGCTTGTAAGTGATTTCAATCCTTTCCATTTTCAAACCACATCTTGTTTCTGATCAATTCATAATTTACTATACTATTATGTTAGGATCTTTTCATCGGAGGTACTGCTACCACAGCAGAGGCCATGCAATGGGCAGTAGCTGAGCTCATCAACCATCCCAACATATTCAACAAGCTCAGGGTGGAGATAAAATCGGTTGTCGGTAGTAGACTAGTTGAGGAATCGGATGTTGGAAACCTCCCCTACTTGCAGGCAGTGATAAAAGAAACACTAAGATTACACCCACCAGTGCCTTTGTCAACAAGAGAGAGCCGCCAAGCTTGTAAAATAAAAGAGTTTGATATACCAGAAAAGACTGCAGTAGCAATCAACCAGTATGCTATAATGAGAGATCCAGAGTTATGGGACAATCCAGATGACTTTAGGCCAGAGAGGTTTTTGTCTCCTGAAGAGAAAGCAGATGGGGAAATGAATCAGAAAGAGACTAGAGGACAGAATTTTCAATATGTTCCATTTGGATCAGGAAGGAGAAGGTGTCCTGGCTCGAATTTGGCAACCATCTTGTTGAATACTTCAATTGCTGCCATGGTTCAATGCTTTGATTGGAAAGTTGGAGATGGAAATGAGGGTAAGGTTAATATGCAAGTTGGCGCAGGCATGTCTTTGCCCATGGCTCACCCACTTATACTTTTACCTGTTGATCACTTCAACCCATTTGCTTCTTCAACATAGTTCTATGTAAACTTGCATGTGGGTTATGCAAAACAAACTTGTGCTAAGAATAAAGGCAAGCTATATGGGTATTTGTGTTACTCAGTTCAAGATAACGAAATTTGATCATAGACTTCTTACATGCCACTCCATGTTTAGTATGCCATTGCGAAAAGAATACGAAGTATAATGTGTTCTTATAAATGATTTCTCTAAAAGGTAACTCTGGATCCTAGCATAAGTGGTTTTATTTTCAAGAAATTGAGATACAATTGGAGATTCTTAATTTCTCCCCGACTCTTATTCTCGTTCACAAAGTTCACATGCGCATAACTAGTAACTACTCCAATTGACCAATTCTTGATTAATTAATAGCAAAGGCAAGACTACAGACAGAATTAACTGGAATTATCATCAAATAGACTCAGGTTGTACAATTGAATTTTTGACATTGCAACATTGCATTACAACAATCAGGGTTTAGGGTTGAACAGCCTCCAGGATGTCCAGGGTAAACGTACAAGTTGAATGGATCTTATCTTTCATTACAATTGACATGTAAATTGTACAACCTCAAGGTTGAACAGCCTCCAGAAGTTTCTCATATACTTGCCTATCAGAGAAATCCTCCAAATGATAATGAAGAAGGCCAAGCAAGATCAGCTTAAGCAGTTTCTGGGTTAAATTGGCATCATAACTTATACATAATTCAGGGGTCTATTGCATACATAGCTTCTATCAGGATGCTGCCCAAGTGAGGTTCCCTAAATGAATTGTAGTTGCTCTTATTTTATAAGCAGTCGAAAAAATTAGATAAGAAAGAAATATCATGTCTTGTTTTTATCTATGTTGCCAAAGTAGAAATGTTTGTGCAACAATACAGTAAATCGGGGAATACTGCATGGCAGCAAAATTATTGTATACAATGCTCTGAATTTTTTATATTAACAAAAATGATATTGTTCTCCTTAACATAGGCACATTTGAAACAGAGTATGATACACCCAAGCTGCCACCAACACCCACACCCATGAGAGAGAGAGAGAGAGAGAGAGAGAGAGAGAGAGAGAGAGAGAGAGTAAAACTTGTTTAACTCACCACAAGGAGTTTCGAGTTATTATTCCACCCTCTCTGAAGAGTCATCTGGCTTAGTCTCAGACCTAACAGCTGTGTAAAAAGCATTAAACTCTATCACATAAATTTTGAAAAAATATGAACTATGATGATACTATCACATAAATTTTGAAAAAATCATTAAACTCTATCTTGATTGAAGAACATAATGCACTGACAGGACAATATCGAGGAAGAACATTTGTATGAAAAGGTGTAGAAACAAAATAGTTTCACAGAAACTGTCAGACAAACTGAGGTACAAGAAACCGAAGGCAGGTGATCAGCCACTGTTAAACAGTGAGTGTCATCCAGTTCTTGTTTTCTTCTTCTTACAAACTGTATAACACTAAAGATATCATACTTTCATTAGAAGAAGAAAGAAGAACCTTTTCAATACAACTTTTCCAGCCTCAGCAATGTTAAGCCTTGCAAGATGTTTGCTCTTGTCCAACACATAAGCTTCGTCAGTCTTCCTTTTGGGCATTTTCTGCAACTGGTCTTATACAACACACACTTCAGTATAATATAAACTGCTTGCCACAAGTATTATTCAACAAACTCTCTTTTAACAACCATTATGAAAAATCCAATACCAATTAAAATGAGCAATTACACCAATTTCTTTTTTGGAACATATTAATTTCTACTCAAACAATAACCCAACTACAATCAAAAGAGAGAGAGAGAGAGAGAGAGAACCAGTTATGAGGAGGTGAGATCCACAGTGCTTGCAGTAGTAGACAAAGAGATCAGAGTCAGGTCCATCTGGAGCTGCCGTCCTCGCTTGAGTACGTGTGTGTTGTTCTCTTCAGGATCACTAATTGAATTGAGTTGAAGAGTTGGATTGAAGAGAATTAAAAGTTGTGTATTCAATTGGGATTTTAAAAGATTATTTTAGGATAAATAAGTCATGTGGTATTCAATTAAGACTTTTCAATAATCTAAATAAGTCTTGTGGTATTCCATTAAGACTATTAAGATTTTTAAAAGAGAACCGTTAAATCTAGTGGTATGTAATCAAGAATTCAAATAAGTAACAAAAAGTTTTATAGTATTCAAAACCATGTTAGTTTCTCAGGATTTTAAAAAATGAGAAATTGTGTGGGACTTTTTAGTGGGAGGTATAAATACCAACCTCTATCTCAAATCCCACCCTAACCCATCAGACTTTTCATGTGGAATATTTTTTTGTAATTCTCTCCTCACCTTGACCTCCATCCAAGCAGTTAAGCCCTTGGTATAAACTATGGTGACCAAACCACCAATAACGACCACTGGGTAAGCAATGTTCTTTCCTCACATGACGACTAAACCACCTTCAACCAGAGCTACCTGATGTTGGGGTACAAGCTTCTACACATGTGGACCTTCACACATCTGTTTGATAGGCAGGGGCTTTCGTCACACGAGTAATGGTGGGCTTGACATTAGAACATTGAGAGGTAAGAGGGCCTTTGTTTCCATTGTAGGTGAGATCAATGTCACTGGCGGATAGCAAGCAAAACATCTGGATTATAAGAAAAATAAAAAGAGTATGGTAAAAAATAGATGAACTAACCACCACAATGGTGCAAGTGGATTATTTAAGCTAAGTAGATGAATTAAAGTTGCTAAGATGAGGCACTTTCTAGTTGGATGATATTAGAAAAAGTATGTACATAGATGGGCCAATAGTATAGGCATGGTCCAGGTGTGTATGCAAGGTTTTGGTCCTCCTTTTTCGGAATATACATATTTTGCGGGGTGTGAGGAGGACAGCAATACTACAAACAGCTTAGCACGTTCTAGATAGGATTTGGTGATGAATATTCTCAAGGCTAAACAGCTTACTAATTATAGGATATAAAGCTAAACTAGAATGCAACTTTGTATAAAAATAGTTAGTGATTGGTTGGATAGTTTGATGGTGTTGAGCCTTCCCAATCGGACCATAAATTGGCCTCAACTCAAAATGGAGTTGCATCATCCTTCCAAAGGAAAAAAAAACAGAGAATAAAATAACAAAGTAGAAGGAAATTCAAGATGGCTATGAAATTAAGTTTCTTGGCAATGCTTTTGTGCTTATTGTTAGCATCTACACCTAAAGCTCATGCTAGTGTGTTTGACGTGACGAGTGCAACATACGGTGCAAAGCCTGGCTCTGATGTCAGTACGGCCTTGGCCAAGGCTTGGAGTGATGCATGTGCATCGCCATCTGCGAGTAAAGTTGTTGTTCCGAGCGGGACATACAAGTTAAAAGAAGCAAATTTCAGAGGCCCCTGTAAGGCTCCTATTGAGATGCAAGTTCAAGGCACATTGCAGGCTCCAGCAGACGCTGGCCAACTCACAAGAACGGATACTTGGGTTGGTTTTCAGTACATTGACATGCTCACCTTATCAGGTGGTGGGACTTTTGATGGCCAAGGAGCACTTTCTTGGAATCAAAATGACTGCCACAAAAACAAAAATTGCAAACCTATTCCCGTTAATCTGCGGTTCGAATTCCTCACAAATTCCAAAGTTCAGGACATAACTTCACTTAACAGCAAATTTTTCCACATGCATGTTTTCCGATGCAACCATACTACATTTCAACAGCTTACCATCACAGCACCTGACGACAGTAGAAACACAGATGGAATCCATATCGGGGCTTCGACTGGTATCAACATTACTCATGCAAAGATTGGAACTGGGGATGACTATTTCTATTGGTGATGACTCCCACGAAATCACAGTGACTGATGTTACTTGTGGGCCAGGCCATGGAATAAGCATTGGAAGCCTTGGAAAATATAAGGACGAAAAGGATGTGACCGGGATCATAGTTAAGAACTGCACCTTGACTAATACGGACAACGGTGTGAGAATCAAAACATTTCCAGATTCTCCTTCGCCTAGCACTGCCTCGGGTATACACTATGAGGATATTATCATGGTTAATGTCAGTAACCCTATCCTCGTAGACCAATTGTACTGCCCATATACTCAGTGTGAACAAAAGCCTCCGTCAAAAGTTAAGATAAGCAATGTCAGCTTCAAGAACATTAAGGGCTCATCTTTCACTCCACTTGCAGTCAAGCTTGTATGTACCACGGGCATACCGTGTGAGAATGTGGAGTTGACTGACATTGATCTCACCTACGGTGGAGACAAAGGCCCTCTTACCTCTATGTGTTCTAATGTCAAGCCCACAATTACTGGCGTGACAAAGGCTCTTGGTTGTGCTACATCGTCCTTGGCACCTCTTCCTTTATCCAAGAAGTAGAAAGTACTAATTAATGTTCTCTATACATAAATTGCTGTGTTCTACTTTGCTTTTGTGCTACATGTTCTCTCCTTTGGCCAAGATAAATAAATACACAACACAATTTTCATCAATGCCAACAGGATTTAGAGCCCTCTTATACCATTGTTGACCTGTTTGATCCCAATTTTCATCACTAAAAACTTCCCTTGTGAATTTGGCAATAACACTGCATGATATTTCTTTGTCTTATATAAAAAACAATCGATAGATCTTTCCTGCCGAAATTTTGTCGGGCCTATTGAAGTGGAAGGGGATGCACAATATATTATTACTGCTCTTGAGAAAGATGGGGAGGATTTGCATGTGTGGAAGGTCACCTTTTTAAAGAAGCTAAGTGCCTCACACATTCTTTCTCTCTGGTGTGATGGTGATATAGCTCCATAGAATGTAATAAGGTGGCTCACTCCCTTGCTAGGCATGCCTTGTTGTTAGATCAAGAATCTTTTGGTTAGAGGAAGAGCCTCCATGACTTAATTACTTCATTGTTATTGGATAATACTCCAAGTTTATCAAATTAATGAAATCTTTCATATTTAAAAATAAAAAAATAAAAAAATAGGAGGGTGAAGCTAGAAAACAATTTTAAGGGGACCAAGAGTGTGAATAACTTAGTTTGGGGGCTTCAAATTCAATTTGGGAATTAAATATTATATAGGTAATACATAATATTTAATTATAAAAAAGATAGGCATTGGGCTATGGAAAAATTTAATTAAGACACCCAAAAGAAAATAAGTAATTTATTTTTTCGTTTTTGCGGAGCAGAATTAAATCTGTAACATATTTAAATATTCACTAAAGAAATAATAGTTAATACATAATTACTAATTAAAGTAATTTAAAAGGGCTAAGATATTACTTAATTACATATATTAAATTAAAGAAGTTGGCTAGAAAACAAAAGTAAAGAAACTAATTTTATATTAACCTAAATCGTAAAGCCCTAGGTTGAGTTACGTAATTATCCAAGCCTAATCGAGTCCTAAGTGCCCTACAGTAGATTCATAGTTAGAGTTGAAGGCTTGCGAACGATTTTGGAACAAGTTCGGACAAGTTCGAAAGCTACGGTTTTTGGTTCGAGACTTGGATTTAGAGTTTGGAGAATAAAATTCGATTTTTAGAATTTTTAAATAATTGAAACTATTTTTTAAATAATTGTAAATTCCACAAAATTATTTAAGATAATTAAATATAATTAATTTGTATTTATTAAGTAATTTTATGAAATTAATTGAAATATTTAAATACTAATTCTTCACTAAATAGTATAGCCGAGCGACTATACTATTTAAATATTAAATATAATATTTTAACGGTATAGCCGTGCGGCTACACTCTATAAATATAGGGCTATACTCATTAAGCCTCTGTGTCAAAACAACTGGTCACCAGTGAAAAATGATTGGTCAACTCCATGCTGCCAAAATCATTATGAGGAAGTTGAACTTTCTTTTTGAGATTTTGCCCAATCCGGACCCACATTCAGCTTTAGTACCACACCAATCACCTTCCGAAGAAGTCATTTAGGTAACATCTCCTCCTGAAACAAATAACACTAACAAAATATACCGTGATAATTTGATTTCAGAAAACATAAAGGATGTAGATACCCCGATACACCAACTTCCAGAAAGAAAGAACCTTGGTAAACCTCAAGTACAGTAAGAAGCAGATCTTAAAGAGAAAAGAAAATACACCATCAATAATTATATATCTCTAAGCAGATTATTAGAGTCACATGTATACTTTGTGGAGTAGTTGGCAGATATATATATGTCCCTAATAGTGTGATTGAAGCACTAGAAGGCTCAAAATGGAAAAAAGCCATGAATGAATAAATGCTATGATAGGACCCGACCCAAATTCCACTTTGGAATCCGTGTCGAACTCGGTTTTGTCCAACACCTGGCAGGTGTCAAGCCCGAATGACCAAAATACGTTTATTTCCCTAATCCAAAAGCTGATTTAGGGTTTAACTTCTACCGGAAAACCGGCAGAGTCTCATTTGAAAAAGGCACATGCACAACAAACTCAAATAGTCCCGAGCGTTCAACACAATCAACTTTACAAAACTCAACATAACAAACAATAAAAAACTTGTGGCTGCACCCAGGTTAGCCTAGGTTGCCCAAGTATCTTTACTGAGGGATCAAGCCACATGTAGTTCTTTATACAAGAAAATAGAGTTCAACCCACATGTAAACATATGAATTAAATGTTCCATCGCACTTTCCTAAAGCCAAAAGCTTCAAACTCTAATCAATCCGCTAAAACTTAAGCAAAAGATATTGATTTCAGAACAATCTTCCGCCCATCACATATGTGTATATACAAATACATATATATGAAATAGCTCATTACAGATAAGTACAAAAACTAGAAAATTATTAAAATAACATTGGCCATGTGAAACCTTAATATCAATATCAACGCTTTGAATAAAACATGCTTCCATCTTTAACATGTAAAAACAAACTCATCACTCAAGAAAATAGTTGTGAATTGTATACAATCCTTAAAATTTAGAAAACTTTCAATCCTTGTCTCACAAATCTAAATACATGTATTAAAACTTTCACCAATAAGTACCAAGATAAAATCATCAATTTTAGTTTAAAACATCTCTAAACTCAAATACTCTCCACCTGGGCGTACCCCCAATCATAATCCGTCAATTCCAATAATATTGCGTGAATTCCAAGTACCATATATGTTACATCCTCGCAGAACTCGGGGAACCCATGGTCGGCCCGAGAATATCCTAGCAGAAGTCGAGGGACACGTAGGCAGCCCGAGAATGCATGTCCTCGCAGAACTCGAGAAACACGTGGTTAGCCTGAGAATGCATATCCTCGCAGAACTCGGGGGACACGTAGTCAGCCCGAGAACTCATATCCTTGTAGAATCAAGTGATCAGCCCGAAACGCATATCTATCAAATCCCCTCTAGGACTTGGGAAGATATAATCAACCTGAGAACGCAAATCCTCGCACCACATGGTTCAGGGGTCCTCGAGACTCGTGGGGCATTGTCAGAAATGACTAGACTGTTTCGAAGGCAACTAGGGGTGAGGGGGGGAGGTACTCCTGTGGTGGGTTTGAAAACCATTTTCCAAAACTTATCATAAAATTCCTCTTTTTCCACAAATCCACTTTCACAAATCCATTTTCCAAATTCTTTCTCAACTTTCCAAAAATCAATTCTTAAATAGATAACCAAAAATCCCTTTTTAAAACGAGATCAATCCCAACATTCCTTAACTTGAATTTGACCATGCATAATCTTTCAAAACTTTTCTCAAACTACATTCAAATATGTACAACATACTATTGAGAAAAATAGTATCCATCATTCATCGATTTCAAGCCACCGAGCATATATTTAAATATAGACATACAATCAGGCATTTAATTAATTCCTTATTCATGCCAAAACCTGGTTATCCAAGCCATTCCCAACTCCACACAATTAAACATAATATAACATGCATGGAAAGTAAAAGCAATTGCATAATAATTCATAAACATTAAAAAAAAACACTCAAAACACAATACCATTTTAAAACAAACCTCGAATTACAATTACAACTACTAAAAGGCCTCAATCGAGCCAACAAAGCCCACAATCTAAGTCAACTGGGCTTGTAGGGCCCACGTCCCCAATTTTTATATGACAATTCCTATTGGTTCATAACCAAAAGTTTAGCCCATTCTACAAGTCCCATCACGATCTAACAGTCGGTTTGACCCCAATCGCAGAATTTGACCAATTGGGCCTACAGCGCCCACAACCTCCGATTTTCGATCCGAACTCTATTATAAGTCCAACAAGTCTACTTAACAAGTTTTGAGAGTTTGGTCTAGATCGAGTGGTCGGATCGCTGTCGATCACACAATCAGACGGTAACCGGTTTACTGAACCCTAGAATCATTGATTGAGAGTATCCGGGACGCCCATTCTCGATCCACCAGTTCCAACACAAATCCTAGAAGTATAAGGAACAACACATTAGAAAATGGGAGCTATTGAACGGTTCGAACTTATTGAACCCGGATATCGCATAATAGGTGCAATATTCGTTCAACTATCAAACGATAATCAAATCTAAATCCGAGCATACCGTCATTCTCAGGACGACAAGGGTAATAATTTAGAGCTCTATGGGCCGCCACCCACCACGGGTAGAGCATGGGTGTCTTGAAAGATTTTCCAGCGACGAAAAATCCCAAAAGCACCGGCGAATACCTATGCCAACAGATTCAGACTTACTAGGGGATCAAGTTTTGTTCTTGGACCATGGCCAAAAACTAGTCGGAACTAGCCGAATCGAAGCCGAAACCGTCGGCTAAAATTAGTATTTTGAACGACATGTAAAACCTCAAAATTGATCCAAGATACCAGCATAGACAACTTGAGCACATGGATGGGATGAAAATTCATACCTGGATCGACGAAAACAGCCACGGAAATAGCATAAAACGGTGTTAGAAACTTCAAAAATCATCCGAACTTCCAATCGTTCCAATTTAATTTCTTTGGGCTTTTGAGCTAGGAAAATGTGGGTAAGATAGAGGACATCGATACGAAACTTTTGCAACCAATCTTGCTTGAATCGGACACCGGACAGCGCCAAAATCCCCGTCGAAAATTTGCTGCCACTTGTTTAGAGAGAGAAAGTCGCGTGCATAGAGAGAGAGAGAGAAAGAGAGAGAGAGGCTGACTGGGTATTTTAAAACCCAAGTTCAAAAAATTTACGTTTGTGCCACTGCCCTTCTGTTGACCACAACTTCTTCGTTATAACTCCGATTTGAGTGTCTACGAACTCGTGAGAGCTAGCTCTACAAAATTGTGCCAGTCAAATCCTTTAAATCCTTCTAGATCGAAAAGTGACTATGGTAACCTACCCCCAAGGGCAAAATTGTATATCTACAATTAAATAATCAAATGAACAGTGATTTTTGGGACGGGGTGTTACATGCGAGCTCTCCAGAAGATTGCCATATGAGAGCTCGTGTCTTTACCTTACGGAAAGAAGACTGTGGGATGCAGGTTGATCTATACTGTAAAACTCAAAGCAGATGGATCCATTGAAGGATATAAAGTTAGATTGGTGGCGAAGGGTTACACACTAAGATATGGGGTGGACTACCAATAGACATTTGCCGTAATAGCTAAGATCAACACTATCAGAGTCTTACTGTCTTTAGCAACAAAACTAGATTGGCCACTACATCAGTTCGATGTTAGGAATGCCTTCTTACACGGAGACTTGGTAGAAGAGATATACATGGATTTACCGCCAGGATGTAAGTTAGCTCCTGAAAAGAAAAATTAAGTTTGCAAGCGCATAAAGTCATTATATGGGTTAAAACAATCTCCGAATGCATGGTTTGGCAGATTTACTAAGTCCATGAAGAATTTTGGATACACTTAAAGTAATTCAGATGACACCCTGTTCTTGAAGTGTGATGAAGGAAATATCACTGCATTAATTGTTTATGTGGATGATATGGTCGTAACTGGAAACGACACTAGAGAGCAACATAAGCTACAAAAGTATTTGTCTCGGTAATTTGAGATGAAGGCTTTAGGTACGCTTAAAGACTTCCTAGGAATTGAACTAGCAAGGTCAAAAACTGGTACATTTTTGTCTCAAAGGAAGTATGTGATGGATCTACTCACTAAAACAAGAATGCTTGGATGTAAGCATGCTGACGCACCCATTGAGATAAATCACAAGTTGTGAGAAGACATGGACCAGTTGCCAACCAAAAAGGCACAATACTAGCACCTTCTTTTTTGTAAATATGAAATATCTTAGCCTTTTTTAAGGGAGCTGATTTCACCACTCCCATTTTCTCCACTTACACTCCTTTTTGCTTTATAATAAGTTTTAATCAAATTTTTTCTTTTTGTTCTTTCTCTTTCCTATTGTACCCTTATCCTAAATTAATTTTTTGATAATTAAAATTAAGAAAAGTTAACATAAAATAAAAAGAAGTCAGAGCGTCTTCTTCTATTGTGATACCTAAACCCTCTTCTTCTTCTTCATTGTGTCTTTCCCACTTCTCATACCCAGAGCTACTCAATCCTTCTCCTACCCTAAGCAAATACTCTTAATTATTGGTGAAAGGTTAGCTATGGATGAAGAACAAAAATTAGAGTCTAAGTTGTAGAGGATTTTAGACATGGTGGGCAACAATGATTTTATAGTGGAATGATAGAATTTAGTAATCCTTCAAATTCTCAAGATATTATGCATGGTACGTTTTATTTCTTACTTAATCTAACTTTATCGATTATTAGCAGTGAATTAGCATATTGGTTTTATGTATGTGTGTGTATCTTTACGTTTAACCTTTTCATAAGGGATTTGTTAACCTTGTGGGGAGATGGCATTGATGGTTTACATTTGTGTCCAAAAGGAAGCTTTTTGAACTCTAAAAGATGTTTCTGTATTAAAAAGAAATTCACTTTGCTGAGCATTACCTATTATCTTATTCATAGGTTCAGTTTTACGAAATACTTGGTGCTTTGATGAATTGCAATTCAATTTTGAGTTTGTGTTTTGTATGCTCTATCTTTCTTTTGCCCTCTTATCTTCTCATGTGCACACAAAGACAAGTTTAAATTAGTGCCACTGCTATCTCTTTATTTTTGCCCTTGGGTAAAGGTCGTGGTGACCTGCTGGTGCGACCCATTGGAGGCACCAACCAACTGCTCAATGAAATGTCTCATAGCAGTACCTGTTCTGTTATATATATTCATTCTTGACTAATATGTGATAGGCAGTGAAGCATAAACATTCTTCATAGCTGTAGCCAATGTGTAGTTTATGTTTCATATAAATTGGATGGTTTGTGATATAGGCAGTGAAGCATCGATTGATGAAAGTGACAAAATGCTCTCTTTGACAAACAAAAATTTTCAAAGTCGGGAAGACCTCATTGAAGCTGCTCGTAAGATTGCCTTTGTGCAAGGGTATGCACTAGTTATTAGAAGATCTAAATCCGAGATATATGTTGTCCTTGGTTGTGATAGAGGCAGTAATTATAAAAGCAGAAAAGTTCCACTAGAGGAAAGAAAAAAGAAATCAGCATCTCGCCTCATAAACTGTCCATTTGAAATTTGGGGCAAAAAGAAAAGGAAACTTCAAGGATTTTGGAAGTTGGAGATTAAAAGTTTGTTGCATAATCATGAACCTTCAACGGACATGTCTGGACATCCCTATTGTCGTCGATTTTCAAATGAGGAAATTATTCGGATTAAAGAAATGTGTATGGCTGGTATACCACCGGGCCAAATTCTCTCTTCACTTCGACAGAGCAATCCTCATCTTCGAGCAATTTCCCAAAACATTTACAATAAGAAGGCTAAAATTTTGGAAGAGAGCCTAGCAGGACGTACGGTTATTCAAGCATTAGTGAACTTGGTGAGGGTGGTTTCTCTTATAACATTGAGTATGACCAAGAAGGGCAATTGACTCTTTTGTTTTTTGCTCATCCTATGTCAATTGAATTGAGTAAGAGTTATCCACATGTCTTTTTGATGGATTGCACTTATAAAACTAATAAGTATAAGATGCCATTATTGGATATAATAGGAGTTTCAAGTTTCAACACTTCATTCTACTCTTGTTTTGTCTTCATGCAAAAAGAAGAAGAGAAGGATTATGTGTGGGCTCTAGAAATGTTCAATAAAATTTTGGGAGTTCATAATCAGCCATTGGTGATCATATCAAATAGAGAATTGGCCTTAATGAATGCTATATGCATTGTATTCCCAAGTGCTTGTAATTTGTTATGCGTGTGGCATATTGAGAAAAACATTCTTGCAAATTGTAAACCTCATTTTAGAGAAGAAGTTGATTGGGTTGCTTTCCTATCTACTTGGGCTGATTTAATCAAATCTCCAAATGAATCATCATTCGATAAAGCTTGGGATCGTTTTGAAAACAAGTACTAGGAGAATGCTGCTGTTTTGAACTATATTAGGGGTACTTGGCTGCCATTGAAAGAAAAATTTGTAAGTGCATGGACAGATGAGGTTGCACACTTAGGTAATCGGGCTACTTCAAGAGCTGAAGGTGCACATGCAATACTAAATAA